TATATTGTCTGATCTTTGAAGTGTGAATGAACACGTTACAAACTTGACTTGGTCCTTTGTCATACGTAACTGCTAGACTACTCTACTGGATTTTAGCATAGCATTCACGTCTAATATACAAAACTTACTTGCCTTTTATATGCTGTTGATATTGCAAATTGCAATGTTTGATTAAATATTAATTTGTAAATCAATCGAAAGTAAATATAATAATAATTTGTTTATTGTAGTCGATCAAATACATTGTATTACAAACGATACATATCTTAATATTTGTGAAAAACACAATGTTACATTTTGTCAGGTTGAAAATATTTCTAATATATTTTTACACTAGTGACTGATTTTTTCCCGCGTTATTTCCTGGAATATAGACATTCCAGAGTTCATGAAATCGTCGATAGAGTACAGCACTTTGGACACGAAAAGGAGCTTTAACCGAGATTTTGTAATTGGTTTTTTGTTTCGGCATGTTTGATGCTGGCAGAAAGTTTGTTGATGATTGTTATACCATTCTGCGATGGCAAAGCTCAAACGCCACACTTATATGCTGCAGTCCGGTAACCATCCCTGCCCCTTCCTGTGATGATTCAAACATAAACATTTGAAGATTTCTTTTATTTGATTTTTACGAATGGTGGTTGCAAAAATAGACTGAACACTGAAAGTAAACAAGGGGGTTTTAAAATTATCGAACTTTCTTTTGATTCGTCTAAAGAATGCATTGGTCTTTTCTGAATTAATAAATTATGTATTTGGCTTTTAAATAAGAGTGAATAGTATCAATCTGCAATGTTCTACAAATTTGCAAGTATGAGTCATAAGGATGAATTGTATCATGAGGAGTTTTATTAAATGTACAGTATATGGTATACACCTATATTATTATATTATTTTATGTAATCATACTTTCACTCAAGTTATATCACGGGTGTTTTCAAGTTTTAGAACTCATTACATTCACGTAGCACGTCCAAGTATAACTTACATTTCACGGTACGTTCACCACTGGGAGTGCTTCATCTTACACTGGACTTACTACATTTTACTCCTCATTTTTTTATCTTTATTTTATATCACTGGGTGCTTGAAGGTGTCTGTAGAATTTATAACCTTACAATATTTTTTTGTGAAATGTGAAAAACAAATGTATAAACGTGATCATAGACACCATTGTACCACAATTAATTTAAGTTGTTTGGATAAACTATCCAAAAGTTTGTGTACACATTTTAATAAAGGGTTATTGCATTCATCCTACCTTAGAATTCTGGTTGATTAATTTCTTTGTGTAATTGATTTGAAAAATCCACAAATGTACACAATGATGTGCTTCGCGTTAAAATTATGTACACAACGAGAAGGAAAGGGAAATAATGTGTTGGTTACATTACGAGAATCTCGTGTTATTCCTGTAATTTATTACGCACATCAGTTGATGAGGCAACCTTATTGTCTCTCTTTTATCAAAATGTCCTTTGTTTTTCATATTTCGTCACGCTACAAGCAACTACATTAGGGCTAAGACAAACCAGATATATAACAAAAACTTATAGTAATTCACCAAAAATGTGTCTGAAATAAACATTTATAATTGTGTTTTTAGATATTTATTACGTGATTGAGGATTTATGCCTATTCAAATTTATCTACTTAATTATTTTTACGAAAATATATTGAAATATATTTGGTGTTACAAATTTAGAAGTCATGCCTTAGTAACAATGTGCAGACATCGTTGAATTTGTCGTTGTGAATAGACTATTGAGTTTTTTGATGATAATCACGCATAATTAATTTTTGATCAGCAGAAAGATTGACATTACGACCACACATAATGAAATGAAAGATGTTTATCATTTGGTGTAAACATATTCTAGTCAATCACGTTCTGTTTATGATCTAGTTCAAGAAATGTTATTATAAATAAATAAAGAAACTTTGCTTTGCTAAATTATATTAATTCCTCCGCTATTTACAAATCAAAAAGTAATAAATTAAATCAATTTTCCCCAGATGTTGTCTATGTGTGTTAAAGGATTGAATATTTATTAATGTTTATACCTTGATGTGAGTTACAAGTAACATAGTTAAAGTCCATACAAGTATTTATTTTTGGATACAACTTAAAATATACTCCTTGGTTTGGATAGAGATGTTAAGATTAGATCTTGAATAAAAAGAACAAGTTTATTAATGGAACAAAGTTTCAAATGTGTCACTGTTGTGATCTCAGAACAACCCTTGTAAGTGATCACAACAGCGACACATTTTAACATTTTGTTTAATTAATAAACCTGTTTTTTTTTTCAAACTCAAAAGGAATACTCAATTTTCCGCCCATTTACAATTAAATAACGTTTCAAAGGAGGACATTCTCCGAAGGCTATGTTGAACCAAGCAGAGATATTTATTGACCATTTTTATTTACCATCTAGTTGGAGCGCGTTTTACTAACTATATTATACAGACGTCCTCTTTGGTAAATCAGATACAAAACTGATTCTTTGCATCTGTAAATGTCATGAAAATCAACCGCCTACATTTACTCTGAAGGTATGGTGCATAACGTAACATATATAAAAGGATATGCATATATACAATAGTATAATATAATATAATACAGTACTCATGTTAGATAACCAATAAAACAAATAAATGATTCAACAACTAATAGTCATTTAGAAATAGGCAATTAAATTTTAAAGTGTCATCAAAGTGAAGATTGCGGGGAAGTTTTTAGTTAAGATGTTTTTTAATAAATTATAATATCCAGACGGATTAAGTTTGGAAACTACTATCCCATTAAGAACATCTTACGTACTTAAGATAGTCAGTCATAGTAAACTAGTGGAGCTGTAAGTTAACAATTACATCAAGATCCGAGGAAAGCTTCATTCTCAACTGTTGAAGCCAAGATCTGAAACTTTGTGTCCAATTACTTTCTGCTCAACAAGTTTTAACAACTAGTCACTTCCTTGACTGACCTTAGAGTTATTGTGTTATGGGCTCGATGCTAATTCCAAGATGTTGTATGTCAAATAAAACAATCCAATCAGATACAATAACTCGTCCTCTAGTTATATAACCAAACAGTAAAGCATACATCATTTAATTAACCCTTAAATAATACAAAGAAAATTAGTAATACGCATTATTATTGATTATCAGGACAAAAATTCAACCTTCATTTAACCTTTTTTTGTTACAGGAGGGTTCAATGTAACTCACATTGAAACATAATATTCATTGTTTTGTTGTATATATTACATAATTAAAGATACAGCTTACATTTCCTCTATATATAATATTCCATATTACCTATTTATTTAAACTTACTAGCAAAGAATCCTTTGACTACATTTAAAATATTTATTGTAGTGTTCAATAATAAAGACACCTTATTTCACAAAGATTTTATTGAAATTATGATACAAAGACAACCTTATTTTACCCGGGTCAAAGTGATTTAAATAAGGGATGGTCAATGAAATTCCATCTTCAATATACAAGTTGAATCTACCAAAGTACAGACAACCACAAAAGTTAAACACGAACATCACAGAGGAGTAGGGTTCTGATTTATAATACCAATGTTGAGGTTGATGACAGTGTTGTCATGCCCGAGTATTAAGTAACATAGATGGTTGAGAGGAGCAATATTTAAAGACAATTTGGTACAAACATGTCACGTTTATCAATATTATCTTCACCTGGATTAAAATATGAATAAGCTGTAATTTTTCGAGACATGTTTTAATATTAGGTTCTTTGGTTTTATACCGACCACACCGATATATTGACTTCCAAATAAGATTTTAATTAATTTAAATAACAAAATCTTAACATAACCTAACCTAACCTAAGGTTTTATCAACGCCAGATTAAGTGTGGTCGGTATAATACTAAAGTACTAAAAATATTATATAGGACTTTCTAACAACTTTTACCATTGTGCTACAACCTACTTTACAGCACACACTGTACTAGAACATCTGACTACAGAAGTTTGATCATAAATTAAGTAAAATAACAGAGCAAAAATAATAAATTAAAGTCCATATGTAATACAAATATTTTATGTATTGTATTTTATTTTGGCAGATATTAGTTTATATATACTGACTAATTTAAATAATATGTTTATTAGTGTTCGTAAATTAAATGTCCAACTGGGAGAAAAGTAGCAGCTGCATTCTGTGTTTGAGCTGATTCGGATCGTAATAATTAAAAGTTCGAAATTACATTCTTAGACGAGTTGAAGTTTAAGTGGATCTTGAAACAGTCTTTAATTAAACATGAGGCCTTCATAAACTCTGTGAGTGAACTTCATTTTTATCTAGTGTTATTTACTAAGTGAAAATAAAATCATACTACAGCGTGTCTTTTTTCAATATCAAATTAGTACTCGAATTTGGAAAACCTATTACATCTTATGGGTTGATTCATAAACATATTCTTAGCTATTTTGCTATGCTATTATAAGTTATGTTTTGTGTACGTGCAAAAATACTTTCAATGTAACATTCATGTAGCTTTTTGAACACAAAATCACTTACACTAATCTTCGGTTTAACGTTAACACTTCTTATCAACAGTTGTTACCTACTTTGATTTTAACCATTGATTGCTGAAGCTTAGTGCTGTCAAACGAACGGGTCGTTAAAATAGCTTTGTTACTGACGTTAGATAAATCATTATCTAGGACTATATTTTAAAATTCTAATGATCTAGGTTAGCGACTAGCGAGGTAATTTTTGAAAAAAAAAACCATTTCCAATTTGCAAAGTTACAGACATTGCTAAGAATCTAACAGGCAACTTACAACTAATACATATGAATGTTTTCCAAAATTTTTTTTTTTTTTTTTTTTTTTTTTTTTTTTCTGGAGGAAAAAATTTTATTACAATAGAAATTTTACAAAAAAGAGTAGAGAACTGTAAAATTAGAAATTAACAATTAATTTTTAAACAAAAAAATTTGGAATCCCAGCTCCATCTTCAAATTCTCTCGCTGACCGCCATTTCTTTCTTGTTCTCCTCAAACACATACTGGTTGACCTTAAAACAGCACAAATTGTTCTTGATCTTATCCAACTTATTACTAAACTGTATGGTTTTTTCCACTTCTCTGATAGTTTTTCAGCCATAACCCTTAAAAACATTTGGAACTCATTCCCAAAAATTCCGTCGACACTTGTAACAAGAGGAGTAAACGATGCATGTCGTTGTTCACAAGCTTTAGTATATTTTCGTTTTTTTTCTTCTTCAGCTTTCTTAATAACTTGTTGATGAGGGATGGAGACATAAGATGGAGCATCAGTGTCAACGACACGAACATCAAACAATGCCTCCATCTGAGTCTCCCATACGCCTCTACAAGCTAGATCAGCTTTTAGTGCAGGTTCGTTGAGATGACTGCCTTCTGCTATCAAGGGCTCTTTAATGCAGTTTCCCCAAGCTTGTTCCATCATGCTACCTATTGTGTCTCTTACTTCATTGTGTCTTTTTATTATCAGACCTCCATTTCGACATTTTAGAGCATGCTCTGTATTGAACTCGTTTCCGCATCCTTCACATTTTAATGGGAGGTTTATTGGTGTTTTCCCATAACGTAGAGCAAGGGCATCTCTAAATTCTTGTGGGGACATGTCCAGATTAAGTTTCTTCAGAGGCAAGCATGATAGCCAGCATCCATGTTTTGCTCTAGGTCCTGCATTGCGCATAATAATTTTCTGCCGTTTTTCTGAGAAAGTTTCCAAATGCTGACTGAATAATTCTTCTTCCATGGATTTCTTTACTTCTTTACATGACTTAATCGATAAATTTAGGGCATATTCATGTGAATCAAAACAAAATTTAGTTTTCTCTTTTAAACAAGATGTAAGAATTTTGCATCCATCTTGAGATGATTTAAACATATAATTTGACTGCTTTGTTGGGTCTATTATTCCTATTCCTCCCTTTTTTACTGGTAAATGTAGAATCTCACATTCCTCATTGCTTACTTCTGAACAAAATAGATTTGGAAAAAAAGATGTCCTAATTGCTTGTTGTATAGGTAAATACGTTTCAGATTTAGTTTCAACTACCCTTTGAAAAAAAGTCCATTCCATTTGTGAAGATTTAGTCACTACAGTGTAGGCAGATTGTGGATATTTCTTTGCAATATTTGCCAGATTGTCAATGTTTTGGGTCCATAAACCAATTTTTTCAGAAATGTGTTTATTTTTTTCCTCTTCAGAACCTATATATCCACCAAGAAATTGGCTACCCTTACAAATTTTCATACCTGATATTTTCTTTTTAAATTGTTTGGAAATATTATCATGATTAAAAATTAATTTTGTTTTATTAACTTGAGGAAAGTACCCATATTTTGGACCTAATTTTGAGAGCTTTTCCCACCATTCCACAACATCATCAAGGGAGCCTTGACAAGAAGAGTCATCTGCATACCAAACTTGAGATGTGTTTGGCATTCTTTTTAGTTCTTGTATTAATGGAAGTGTTGCCAGACCGTATAAAATCATTGATAGTGGATCTCCTTGGGTAACTCCTTCTTGACTATATAATCTTTGATTACTTCCTTGTAAAATTAAATCTGAACTACATTGGTAAGTATTATAAATGAATCTTGCAGCCCTTGGCCATTGGACTCTTGCTTGCCATAAAGCATGAATTCTGTTTATTTTGTTGAAGGCATTATCTGCGTCTACCAGGATCATACACCATTCTTTGTTGGTATTACTATGTTCACTATATTGCTTTCGCATGAAATGTATTCCTCCTTCTATACCAGATTTTAGACCTCCACAAAGTTGATCTGTACCTAATGCTTGTTTTGCATCATCGCCAAAAGCTAAAATAATGCATTTGGCCAGAATGCGTCTGAGACATTCTCCTATTCCAATGGGCCTCACACCTGGACATTTGTCAATTGCAATAAGTCTATTTGCCATCAGAGCTCTTATAGTGTGCCATGGTACTACTTCTCCATTTAATTTCATCGCCAAGGTGGCTATGGCTGTTCTTAAATAAGTACTCTTTTGTCCATGACGCAATAAGAAATCTGTCCAATTTTCGGATGAACTTCCTCCTGGACCTCCACTACCATGAAGTTTTCTTGCTATCTTTTCTACATGTTCTGCTGTTATTTCTGCATTTTCAAGCTTTGGAATTTGGTCCATGCCATCTGGTAATTTAAGCAAATTAATGTCAGGAATTATAGCATTTGGGTGTTTTTCTTTCAATACATCATAAACAGTGTACGAGGTATTATCAATAGTTTCTTCTGGATTAAGTAAACCACCTATATTCTTTTTATTTATCTGTCTTGAGGCTTCCTTTATTTTACCTTTTTGAACTAATTTATTAAAATAAGAGTCTTTTAACTGTTCATATTCGTCAGAGTCAAGCTCATATTTTGTTTTCTTTAAAGATTTATCACATCGAATGGCCTCATTAATGAGTTTGTCAAATTGATTATTCTGCCATTCATCTAGTCTTCTTTCAATTAATCTTCTTATATCCTTAGCTTTTTTAATCATTTTGTCTCTTTGAAGGATAATTGCTATAAAACAAATCACTCTCTCAGATATCTCTTTTCCTTTTGCCAACAGTAATATTTCATCTGCAAGTATTTGAATAAAGTTGTTTCCTATTGATCCATTTGGTAACTCATATTGCATCCTTTTCAGTGAAATAATCTTTTCCCATCTATCATTCCATTCAGATGATTTATGATTTTGGGCTTGTGGTTGGTCATTTCCAAAAGATTTTATTAAGACATCAAGAGGATGTTTGTCAAATGATTTTCTATTAGAAGACTTGTTAGGATCATAGTTTGTTATTGATGAGTGTTTTTTCTTAAAGTGTTGTTGGAGCCTATTATTATTTTTGAAACTTGTATTGCATTCAGTACACCTATATAGATCATCTGTCAAATCTTCTATGATATTAACGTTATCCTCTTTGATGGCCCATGCTTTGGATTTTGCTAAAAGTAGATCAAAGTGTCCTGAAGTTGGATTACCAGACAATAATAAATTTACCACTGGTACTGATATCTGTTTGCCATTTTGAGAGGAAATTACAATGGGAGGTTGTCTCATAGCCATTGTTCTTGTGCATTTTTGTGGTTGTATGGGTTGTAGGTAAATGTGAAAACTAACTTGATATAGTTGGGCCAAAGCAAAACATTCCACAGACGTGGCAAAAGTGCCATTTTCTCCCATCAATTTTATGTATTCATCTTTTTCTGAGGATCCAAATTCATCTAATATAAACATTTTAGCTGATTCCCAGTGTTGATCTAAATATCTAACAGTTTCATTTCTTAATTTAGTAAAGCTATTCTGATTGCCAAATAAGAATACACTTACAGCACGAAATAAGCAGTTTCCATCTTTTTCAACCTTGAAGATTGTAAAATATTGTGCAGGAATCATTCTTGGTTACTTCTGTTTATAGGTTAGGATAAAATATTTCTTTCATTTTTATCCATATTCTTCTTAAAGATAAAGTAATTTACATGATTCAAATTTAGAAATATTATGTTTAGTAAAATAAATATACTATAGAGCTAATAACAAACTGATAATTAATAAATTTCTTAAAATAATTTAGAGTGAAAAAATTTCAATGTTTTGTTTATCACAGTACAGATGATACTACTTAAAATTGATAACAATTTAAAAGGATAACATGGAGTGTATGGATTTGTAGAGGATATCCAATTAACGCAGCCAGTGACCTTGCTTAGACAGTGGACATGATTACCCCAGGACAGGATTAGGATAGTATCCCTCAGGACAATTCTCCTGTAGGGCCTCAGGACTTATGGGAGTCCCACTAAAGCCTCTACTCTAATTAGGTCCCTCGTGGTTACTCATTCCTTCTAACCTTAAAATGTATATTTTTACCTTTTACACGAATGATGGAATTCAACGACGGTCATTTAAGCATATTTTACACTTTTTAATGAACTATACCGTATCAATTTGTAATAAGTATCTACAGAGAAAAGTATAACACCTGATAAAATATATAAGAAATATTTATGGTCCGAAAATTGTCCTAAAGTTTTTCCAACATATTTGTAGGTTAGTATTTATGTTATAATCAAAATAATAATAATAAGAAAATAATCAATAATCAAAATAAGCGTCAGTTTTTGCAAGTAGGAGTTAAATTAGGTCCTAAGTACTGTATATTTTTGTCAAAATATTTTTTTGGCTTATTTGGGATTATAACTTATTTCACAAAAACAGGTAGAGGTTGTTTTTGTGTATGGAAAACCTACATGCATCTTTGGGATTCGTTATCAATGTGATTCTTGTACAAAATTAACGATTTTTGTAGTTTTCAACCCACTTACAGGCTTTTAACGAATAAATCAAGGAGTTTCATAATGTCTAAGTATTGTACAGTAATATTTTGTGTATATTAGATGCACCAGGTGTATAAGTTTGAATGCATGGGAAAATAAACTTGAAAACTGCATTGCCTGGATTCAGCTCTCTAAGTAAAAGTCAAGAAATTAGTTAAAAAAATAACAGTGACCAACCCAACCCGAATGTCCAAGACAGATTTGTCGATACTGTAAGTCATCCTGATGAGACACTTTTGTTTTGTCTCCTCAAACTAAGTTCAAACGCAAATCTCTGTCTTAAACAGAGTATTTATTGAAAATAAAACCACCCAGTCATCATTAGCGTATTTTAAACAACGCTTTGACGATGTTTCCCATGAATTTCTCAGAGAAGAGTGAAAATGAAATCTATATAATTAATACGCCACATGAAACTTTGTCGGTTGAACTCCTCCGACATTTCATAACCGATTTTATCCCTTGACGTCTCATTGGAAAGAGCGTGTCGTGTAGATTTGCAAACTGACCTTACATTTTTGAAAAAATCCCTTGGGCTCTGCTCCAATGGCTGTTTAAGTCTCCATGTTATCCTTATGAAGAACATAATTGTTTACATTTTGATCAGCTGTATAATTTATTTGCTGTTATGCATTTTTCAATTCAAAGTCTTTTAAACTCATTGGATATTATGATGACTTTGATTTGTTTTTAAATAACTACTTTTCTTCTTTGCAATTGCTTGATTTCGAGCAACGTGTTTACTAGTAATTGATTAAAACCACATTCACCAATATACTGTAGAACATAAAATGGGGGAAAATATTTACTGAAACTCCCTAACTTTTGTATCTCTACGTTGTATCACGAGGTGTTCAAAAATTTCGGAACTCATTACATTCACGTATCACGTCTGAGTATAACTTACATTTCACGGTACGTTCACCACTGGGAGTGCTTAATCTTACACTGGACTCACTACATTTTACCTCATTACTTAATATTACGTTGTACGGCAGGGCTTAAAAAAGTAATTAATTCCCTATCATTGTTGTCAAATATGAAATCAACAACTAAATACAGCACACAACCACCAAATAAATTAACTACTATAAACTAATTAACCATAAAACTAAATTAATTAAATTACCTAACTAATTATTTAACTAAATTAACTATACATATAACTATCTAACTTGGTCATTAATCAACTATAGACATATTTTGTGGAAAGTAACATCATAAGCTTCATGTTTGAGTTTAACCTGACTTAAATCATAAATTTCACTATTATATAGTCTACGAATATTTAAGTTAAACCTCATATATATGTCATTATATATTTAAAGCATTATAGAAGTAGTATTGTAGCAGTTTGAATGCAAACTTGTCATTGTTAGAATGTAAAATCTTAACTATTTAAAAATCTGATTTACCAATAGTAATTTTTTAAGGTATATTAAAAAAAAATTGGAATATTTTTAAATATTTAAATTAATAAATTTTAAAAATATTTTTAAACATTTAAAAATTTATTTAAAAATACTAGGTCGCGTGTATGCTTGCTAATAGAAAATAATAATGTAATCAATATTGACATATTTTTGACATTTCTAAAGTTTGTTTACGACATAAAATATGAAACATTCTTAATACTAAATACCCCCGCTGCAGCAAACCTGCCGACTAAGCGAATTTCCCTTTGTCTGAATTGATTTTCAGTTAAATAAATTTTAATAACATTAGGTTTAACGAGTACCTAGGTTTGCTGCTACAAGGAAACTAATAAAGTGTGTTTTTGAGTAAAATATTGATTGCTTAGTACAAAATAAATAAATTTGCCAAATTGGATAAAAAAATATCCATAAACAAGCAAACTACAACATTTGACAATATTCTCCATAAGAATAACATGGTAATTTTAAATTTACAATTTTTTTAATTTTCTCGGTAACTAATAATCGAACAAAAATACTTTTATATACAAAATTATTTGTTTTTTTAAGCTCTCTAAAAAGGTCTTAAGAGGAATCGGGAAATTTTGTGTTTTGAGGGTTAAAAGTGAGAAAAACCAATTTTTACCCCATAACACCCCCCGTAAAGCCCCGTTCCCATGGTCCGATCGTGCTGGTTCGCGAACTCATTCAAGTTTATCCCACTTTACACCTTTAAACCAAATTTCATCAAAATCGGACAAAAATTACTCAAGTTATCGCGTTCACGGACGTATATATATATATAAATCTATATATTCTATATATATATACATATATAAAAATTTGAACGAATGGTGTTTTTGGCCTCTGGGGCCATCAAAATGAAAAAGTAAATCGGTCTCGGGTCTAGGTCTTACCGTGCCACCTACGGTAATAGCTACTTCCCTATAGGGAAATTCGCTAAAACCTAAATAACTGACAATCCAAATTAAAAACTATATTTGGGACTAAAGGCAAGGTGGTAGCGGATTTTTATCCCCCTGGAATTTTACCCACTTGGCAAACGTGACGTCACAAACCAGGGGGTAAAATTCCGGCCGCGAACTTTTGAGTTTCGCG